ACAGGCCTTTGTATAGCATGAGGGATCACATCCAGGATTCCCCATGTGTTTTTGTAATTTGAAATAAAACAAACAAACAAAATTTTTATTCAGTAGACATGAACATCTGGAAGATGACATCAACATGACTTCAACTTTAATGTCAAAGCACCAGACTGAAATCCAATATTGTTGAACTATTTGTGGTGGAAACACCAGAAACTTGAACATCATGGAAAAAAAAGTGTGATGGGTACAAGGTTTCTGCAGCAACTGAGGGAAGAAACAATGCTTTAGAGCTTAATTAAATGCCTGATGAACACTAATGTACTTACAGAAGTGACTTGGGCCAAAACATGTGATGYTAAATATAAAAATGAGCACCCTGGTCTTGTAAGAGGCCTGGATACTGGGTTTCTAGCCTTGCCCTGCTCTGCTTTTCCCATTTATTCTTCCATCCCTCRTCATGGTGCTTGAAAATACCTTTGAAAACACCCAGCTTTTTGGAGATGGGCAAATACTGCACAGCTTGGGTGCACTCATCCTTCTCTCTGCCTGTGTGGGGGAGCAGAATGGAGCTGCCACCAGACAGCAACTCTGTCCCATCAGGGGAATGGAAATAATGACTGGGACAGTAAATCTTACTCAAAGAGGATGAGAAAGTACCACCAAACTAAGCCTTCATGTCTTGGAAGGAAACTCCTGAGAGGCAAGTCCTGACTCTGTCAAAAGAAGAGATGGAGAGAGGCAATGAAAGACCAAAATGCTTCCTCTCCTCAAAACACTCAGCTCCCAGGCTTAATTATACAGGATCAACAATCCTAACCAAAACTACTGGCAGCCTCTCTATGTACAAGCACACAGCCAACCTCAAAAATGTGGCTTTAGCACTCATACAATTTTTACAGACAAAAATCAGTTTAATTAGGTAGTTTGTAATTTCTTTTGAAAGCAAGAATGAAGGTATCTGTATACTCTCAAAACTAGTCAAACCACTACCCTTTTTATTTAAACATCACTATTAGCTTGTCCCAGTTTGAAGTTTCCCACTCCCAGTTGTAACACTAGTTAAACCTTTCGGGGAAGTTCTGTGCTCATTCTTATGCATTGCTATTAATATTTTTTATTGCAGTTACTTGGGATCCAACACCATTCCACCGAATCCACTCAGAAGGATTTTATTTTGATTTTGTCTGGCTTGTTTTATTCTTAGCAGATGGTGCAAACCCATATGTTGATGAGTACATGCCACAGGAGAGCATCTGATCCGATAGAGCCAGCCCCAAACTACAGCGATGTCTATGCTGAGGACTTCAGTGCCTGCCACCACACAGGACCACACTTCTTGGCATGGTGTGTTAGCTCAGATGGGCTTCCAAAACTACACTAGTCCTGGTGCACAAGACACTTTTGAAAAGGTACCTCAGGCATCTCTATACAGCAGCGCGACCGCCCGCAAAGTTGGCGTTTTTTCAAACTAATTATTACCGTGCTACCCACATAACTCAGGTGGACTAAAGGTGACACAGTTTTGACAAATATAAATGGAAATATTTGTGCATATGCAAATCAACAAATAATTKTCATGAAGTGTGATTCAGCAGCCATGCCGGTAACAACTTTCCCAAAGCATCTTTTTCTCCCTGCATTGTCAGCGAGACCCCTGCYGGCCTCCCTGTCTTTGATTTTGTTTGAAATACATCCCCTGATAACCTAAAGAGAAGCACATACAAAGAGCTTAGAGCTATTTATAGCAAAGTCTGTGTGACTGAAAACATTGCAGTTTTCTTGTGGTGGGTACGCACATTGCTTATGAACTGCAACTGGAAAACTGTTGCCTCCCTCTTTAGCAATTCTAGTCAGCATTCCCAAGGCAAGAGAGAGGGAGCCAAGGAAGGAAAYAGACATAAGGACAAAACGCAAACAAACTGAAAATTTACCAATCGCTTATATTCAGAAACTGAAGGGGGGCAGGAGGGTGGGTACAAGAAAGAGTCGTCTCAATCTGCATTTCAAACTGCTGGAAATGGGCATACAAAATGGATTAGCACGATCACACCAGTATTCTTCAGCAAGGGTTTTGTGCAAGCCCCTGAGAACAGGCATAATCTCTTATAATTACTGGATACACTGTTGTCACATTAAATAACAGCCTTTCCTCAAAACATTTAAAAGCCTATTCCCCATCGATCCTTCCAACTGGGCATTGGGTGCAACTGTCAGCAAATCCAGGAATATGGCAAGCAGAGCTCACTCCTGGATGCTGATCTACAAATCCCACATGAACTAGTTTCATAGCTGTGCTTTATTTGAAGTGAAAATAAATGACGTACAGCAAGAGCARTGGCTTAAATCTTGTACTTAATAGATTAAAATCCCACATTCCTCTTATGCCTTCCTACAAACAAACAACCCTCCCATCATTTTTAAGTCCTACTGGCCAGAAATGTGATAGAAAAGTCAAAACTCTGAAAAACTCTGATTTCTGCTGTCCARAATTAGGTGGTTCAAGGTCTTGATCAACACCAGAAGAAGAAACAGGGAATGGTAAAATGCAAAGATAACATGTTCCGGTTTGCCTCAATTGTGCCTTGGGTTTTAACTACTGGAGGAGATTTATAGAAGAGATACCAGAATACGGGATGGCTGTGTGAGGATGGCAAGCAGGGAACAAGGTATATTTTGTAGTTGTCAGCAAAGAACTGGCAACTGAAACCCCAAGAGAAGGTCAGTGTATAGCAGAATAWAAAGAGAAAAGAACCACCTTTTATTATTAATCCCAAAGCTATATTACTCATGGACAGTCATAGATGTAGTATTTGTTCCCAGGTGAGACCTACTAAGCCTATAAATATTTTTTAATTAAAATMATTTCCCTTAACGCTCAGCCTTTCTTATCGTTATTTTACGGACAGCAAAACCCCATGCTCATAGATCCCTAAGACAACACGCATATTTAACACATTTTCAAGAACAGATAGAGAGCTGACACCCGGACTCTACACAACCACGCTCAGAAATGAGCCATGAAATAACCAAGCCACAGTGAAAAAAAAGTCTTTCCTTAATRTGAAACTGAAGCAAAAGAACAGAAGCTGTAACAGCCACTTCATTCTTGTTCTGTAGCACCTCTCAAGAAAAAGTTCAGAGGAAAGTGAAGGCTGTAAGCTGTGCATAATGAGCCAGAAACATGTAATGCTTCACTTTTTAAAATCTTTATTTTAAAATCAGTACACTTAAACTAGCGCGCTTTCTTTGAACCAGCTGGTGGGAAACACCAGCGGTGACGAGATACGGAATCACCTGAAACTCGAGCCTGATTCACTCTGGCACTTCTCCTGCTCCATTACAACTCCTAAATCAAGTCAAGAAGCTTGTGTAACAGGAAGTTTGTATCCACTTATCTTTATCTCCTTTCTCCACTGGTGTGACTTTAGAACACTTAGCCCTTAATTTATAGGATAATAGTAATAAACAAACAAAGAGGAACTTCCCCCATGGAGAAATGAAAGGGGGGGAGGGTGGAAATCAACATCTTTTCTGCTTTCTAGACACCGGACAGATTATCTTGTAAATCTGAGTTTGGTCCAAAGAGAACCAGGTAAAATATTACTTGTGTTTCCATTCTCTTGATTTGATGGCAGAAACTTTTTTAACACAAATGCAAGAGAAGGGCTTCTACCGAATAACTTGGGAATATGGGCAAGAAGGGATACTCATAGTTACTACTGTATGCACCAAAACCCCCTGAAATCCCAGCAGATTTACTATTACTCATTTGCTCCACAAATGACTTTCTTCTCCCTGATGTCATTGCGTGAGGGACAAGGATAGGTGAAGGAGAAAACAAAAAGAACTCTCAAAACACTGATGAAAAGAAGGGACTGAGGGAATAKTTTTTCTTTGCTACATGTGTTTCTTGGAACGTATCAAATTGGAATCCCAGCACACTAAGGACAGAACAGCAAAGCTACCATGAAGCTGGCAAGTGGCAACACGACTCATACCAACTTCTCCCTTTTGTGRAGACGCAGATCAGAAATCTCTTTTAGTAGGAGGTTATGGGAACAACAGGTTCCAATCAGCCAAAGTACTTTCTGCCAATGCCTGTATACAATGCTAATGAACAGCACCGGGTTCTGGAGTTTGCAGCCAAGTYAGAACATTAATACGGGACTCATAAGTTATCTGAATGCATTGTCAATCTCATTATGATACTTAGTTTCCAGTATTAACTATTTTATCGGTAGCTGCCMCTTAAGTCTTCTAAAACTGATGCATCAGGCCATGCAATGCAACAGCCAAAAGGTTGCAACTCCGCGGTAGGAGATGTCAGCTGTACTTGTAATTTACACAGGACACTTAAAAACAGGGGGTAAAGAGAATAGTACGCGCACCCTAATTGCAACTGCACTATCACAAAAGAACTCGAAACATCSCTTTGAGATTCCTGCGAAACTTTGTCCCGGCACGAGTGTGGGCATTTCACTTTGTCACAGAGGGAGAGCAGAGCTGCCTGTACCCAGCTGCGGGACAAGGGCTGCCGGCCCCGGCCCCGGTCCCGGCCGGAGCAGACGCGGTGCTGCCGGTGACCGAGCGCCGCCCGCCGCGCCCGGGGCTCCCGCCGGGGCTGACGAGGCGCGGCCACAGCCGGGCGCCCAGGTGGCCTCTCCCTGCCTCCTGAGTGCAACTTGCCAGGGACTTTTTCGCCACTCATCTGACTTACTTAAAAAAATAAAAAAAAAAAAAATTCCTAATTTACAAAGATCAAGAAAGTCGTAGTATACATTTACCGTAAGGCTGGTTACCACTTTAATCTCGCAGCTACTCAGACACAGGGATAAACCCGGCGAGGATTAACCAGGTCAGCTATATACAGCCCCGAGAGCAGCTCAGGCTACGCTCCCGCCGAGCAGCGAGGCGAGGACGGCGGGGCCAGCCCGCAGCACCCTCCGCTCGCCCCGGCGCGGGGAGCCCCCGGGGCCGTGCCCGCCGACCCTCCCGCCCGGCCCCGCACTCACCCAGCGTCTCCGCCCGCAGCCACAGCGGGGCCGAGGCTCCGAGCAGCAGCGACAGCAGCAGCGAGGGGGCGGCCCGCGCCCCCCCGGCGGGGCCCATGGCTCCGGCTCTCGGCGGGGCGGCCAAGGCACAACTTCCCCACTTCCCTCCCGCTCCTTTCTCTTCCTCTCCTCTTCCTCCTCCTCCTTGTGGTCGGGGCGGCTCCGGAGCCAGCCCGCGCTCCCGCGGAGAGGGGCGGCCACCTCCCGGCATCCTTCCCCCCCGCAGGTGTTTCTGCGGAGGYGGAGAAGGGGCCGTGCGGGGCTGCCTCTGGCCCCGTGCCCCGCCGGTGGCTGGGCTGCAGCGCTGCCGCCTCCCGCCTCCCCGGCCTGGGGCTGGGGGTGGAGAGAGGAAACGGGAGAAGGGGAAGCGCCACTATTCCCATTGGGCTGCCGCTCGGGGTATCTCCTCCTCCTGCCGTGGACCGAGGGGCCGGCGCGGCCCCGCCGCCCCCTCCCCTCGCCGAGTGCTGCCTCTCCCACCCACCGCCGCTCCGGGGTGCGGCACCGGGGTCGGGGGGTTTCCCCAAACCTTGGCAKCCCCCAACATCGCCTGCGAGCCCCCGGAGCTGGCAAGACGCGTGCATGCTCACATACATATATACACCAGCGTGTGTGTATAGATATGTTTTTGAGGAAACGGGATTATTTTGCGGTTTGCTGGCTAATTCCCCGGCGTGGCTCCCGCTGCCACAGACACCGCAGGGCGGACACGARTGGGGCCGGCGGGCAGCGCTGCCGGACGGGGCGAGCGGGAGCGTTCGGCCCCTTCAGCACGGCTGGGGCCGTGATCAGGCTTCTCGGTCCTGTAACCCGCTCCCGAGGGGGTGTCTACACGCAGGGTTGCAAACCGCGTGGTTAACCTGTGCCAGCTTTTGTGTGTTACAGCTGTGGGCTGAATTAAACACGAGTTTTTTAAAGCATGCTGTGGGCATCTCGGTGTCTGGGTGAGACCTTGACTGTCCAGCTCTGAAGAACTGTGGCACTGGCAGGATGGTACATTCATGRTAGAGGGCCAGAAGCCGCAGGAGACCTGCGTGTTAAGCAGGCCCCAGTGGTTTGTTTGCTTTTTTAAAGTGTGCTGGGGGCATGGAAGGTGGCCTGTCTGGCTCTGTACAGTCTTTTCAGGGATGGGTTGCTGTGAGACAGGTGGATTCACACTGCTGGCAGGTCAGGGACGCTGTGCTGCTATGCTAAAATGAAGTACAGAATTGACTTGTATGTGATAGAGACAAAATGGTTAGATTTTATATTATGTTAGAAAAAGTTGAGTTTAGTAAACCTTCATTCTAATTGAGCTCTTGTTTTGTAAGTGTTAATGTCTGTTTTTTAACTTTTCAGACACCATATGTGATCAGGCATATTTTTTGCCTTGTACCCAGTACATTATATTCTTGGTACATGTATTTAACACACGTTGTTAGTATTTGAGTCTTACCCTTCTTTTCAAAGGAGAGTTTGAAATCAAGACTAAAATGTTAGATATGGTGTAAGGCTCTTTGAGTGTTCGCTAGTGCAGCAGTTTGGTGGTCAGACTAATCCTCACCAGATTTTGCCAACAAAGGCCAACATCTTTCTGGTTGAAGGGGATTGGGATGGATCACTCTCTTCAAGACTCTTAAGGCTGAGAGTCCTTTAATGAGGAATGTGTCCATGTGAATATAAGTGGCATGTTTTCCTACTTGTCTCACAGAGCATCAGGAACAAAGCCATACAAGTGATGGCAGTTATGGARAGGAAGGGGCCAAAAAGTCAAACTCTGCAACAGCCTCAAGACAGGATTTAAACACCCCACACAATTGGTGGGGGGAGGAAAATAGTTTTTCCTACACCAAATACTGGTTCAAAACCTACAAATGAGACTCAACATAAATTGAAACATGAGGGGGAGAAATGAATAGGACAATACATATGTTGCAAAATACAAATCAGCTTTGAACGAGTGGTAGTTAYTGAAAAGGAATATAACATATGAGTGTGCATTGTTTTACATTAATCTCAACAGGCAATCAAAACCAGTCACTAGTACCTGAGTTGGTACTGGGAATTCGACTGGTTTGTATTCACCAACTGAGATCTAAAATATATTCTCTAATAATAATGCCAGGTTCTGGTTTTATTTCTTAGGGGTTATCATACATATTGACAGAACAATCCTGCAGGTTAATGTCAATTTTAAACTGGCTTTGGTGATCTTGGGCAATTTAATGCGCAAAACACTTTGCCATGGAACTTGCAGATAATGTCACTAGTGCTGAACTCTCCACAGAACCTGGGTGGCTGGTAATTGAAGTTAGCAGCCTTGGAAGGCCAAAACTACTTTTGCCTGTCACACACCTCTAGAAGGCTCAAAACAAGAGAGAAGGCTGGTTGGCAGATACTGTCAAAGGAGGCTTTCTTCATCTCCTGGGAGCTGGAGGCTCRGCAGTGTCCTCTGGGACAGAGATGATGATTCCATTCACAGTTATTTTTRTTTCATGGATTTGTAGTGAAATGATAAGTCATGCCCTTGAGACCGGGGCTGTAAAATGTCTGGGAGTGGTATTTGTTTTCCATTCATGGCTGATACAGGAGACCATTAGTGGAGGGAAGGGCTTGCAGGCTGCCTTTTCAACCTTCTCACCAGCCTGGGCTCAGCAGGAGCTGGTCACTTATCCAAGGCCACGTGTTTCCTGTTGCAAATGTGTAGTGCTCAGGGGGAAACCCTGCTCCTCTCACAGGTGTTGGGAGCACAGCTTTCCTATTGACTTCAGTAGGATAATAATAATGCAATCAGTGGAGTAGCTTCTGTATTATTTATTTTGCTATTAAATTCTCATTACTATGCCCTCTCCCTGTCAGTTTTCAGTATGCTGTAGGCAAAGAACTTACTGTCAGCTTCCAAGATTAAATAATCATTAAGATGAATGAAGTAGTTTATAGCTCTCAAAGTTGTTATTCAGCAGGAGGACTTGTGTAACCCTCGTCACATTGCTACATTGGTTCATGTGTACTTTTCCAATTTCCCTTTGTAAGGAGAAGAGTTAAAACCAGCTTTTAAATAAATATCATTTTAAAGGCAAGTGCTTTGTGTTAAGGCAAAAGATTTGTTCAGAAATCAGGCATACATTGAGCCTGACKGATAAGTTGTCACACAACAGGAGCTTCACAACACAAAAACTCCCTGGCAAATTACTTTTGACAGCTTAATGCAGCCGATTTTGGTCACTAACACTGACTTAATTTGGGAGAGACCTGATTCACCCAAACATATAATAACTTTCTGGCATGAGCACGTGCCTTTCCCTTACAGGTGATTTTCCAAGGGTGTGAGTTAGGACTATTCTGTGTGTGTGCTGCAAATGGTAGTAACTGAGTCACCCACAACTAGATAATGTGTCTTATTATTCATTATATGGTTACCTTTACTGTGCAGCCACCTGCAAATGAGCAATTGAGTTTTAACTCCACAGCTCTTTGACCTCAGGATGAACAAGCAGCGAGAGAGGACTTCAGAACAAAATCAGCTCAAAACACTTTTGAAGGTGGATGGTCTGTATGGGGACATACCCAGGTTTCATTTGTAGACTTGTACAGTCTCTAGCTTCATGGATTTCCTTTCTTGACCTATACTTTTTATATACTGTTTCATAATTGTATATAACACAAGGAGAAAGAGCTCCTGCTAAGCAGACCTAAATATTCTGATGAGTCCTTGTGTTCCTTGTGTGTTGTGAGACCCGTAATTTGACTGGCGCAAGGAGCAGGGGAGGAAAGAAAAACACACTGCAGAGTTCACCTTAGCTTATCTTGCAAGCTTGATAYTGTCTGTTTACATTGTTTCTTTCAAAAGCACTTTGTTCTGTACCGGTTCTAGGAAAAAAAAAATAGAACCCAGAACATAATTTACAAAGATGTTGAAGTTTCATCTTAATGGAGCAGTCTTGCTTTTGTGCAGCTAACAGGAGAGCTCCTGTTCTTAGTAAGTGGAAAGCATTTTCTTTGCACAGTAGAAGGGGGAGGAATTGAAAACACAATGAGGTGGAGACGACCTGAGGTTACAAATTACAAAAAGCAAGAACAATTCTAGACATTGAGAGGTATGTTAATCTCTTCATTAGCAGAAGGATAGCTTGCAGATTGAGAGGCCTTTCAGCAGTCTTTATACATAGGCCAGGTTTTGCATTTTCACTGGGGCAAAAKCAAGTGGTATAGTGGATAAAACTGAGAGCAAAATGCGCTGGTTGCTGACCTCTGTGTATTCAGGTACTGTGTTCTGCCAGAAGTATATGTGGTTACACAAAAATTCAGAAAATAAAACATATAAAGTAAAAGCCTGAGGTGTGTCTAGATGCAGAATTTGTATACGCTATGCAAGGAGTCTGCTCTGTTAAAAATAACGAGAAAACAGCCAAGTCAGTGCTGTCACAAGGCTGTGTGATGGCTTAGGAAGTTCAGCAAGTTCCTTGAGACACACATGAATTATTCTGTGTGTGTAGAGGATTTAATGGACACCGTGCTAAGTCRTTTTTGTTGCTGGAATCTAAGGCCTTGCCCATGGAGCAACAAAGACWTTTCAGCCTGTGTAACACCACCCTCCCCTCCCCTAAGCTCTGCATAGCATTAATCCAGCAGGAGATGGACTGAGCTCCGGGACTCCTCTGTGTTTTCACCTAACTATTGTTGCCCAAAAGGTCTTACCTGTTTCTAGCAGACTAGGACTGTGCTCTCCTACTCAGAGCCAGCCTGAGTTCTGGTCAAGTTCATGCTAGCAGCTTCCCTCCTTGCTCAGTGAAAATGCCCAGGGGGAAAGGAGTGAGTAGAACAACATTTCCACTTTTCAAGTAGCTCTGAGCAAGTAGCTAAGAGGATATCATGACCTGGTGCTTCCTCAGTACTTTAAGGCAAACTTTAAGGCAAGAATCAGACAGACAAAAAAATCTTCTGATAGAAGAAACAGTTTAACTTGCACTAACATAGGTCACTGACAACACCCATATGGATGAGGTGGAACTACACAGTGTCATTGTGCAATTACACTGGTAGCAAAAATCCCCAGGGGGAAGAGACCATAAATATTCTTAGACCTTAAGAACATGGGAGAAGAAATTACAGGCAATAAATTCTGGGAGAGAAAACTAAAGCCTGCAGCAGGCTTCAAGACTTTTGTCTTTTAGCAGCAGCAGAGAACTATAGGCCTTGTCTGGGTGGGAGTGATAGCAGGGCTCTTYCCAGCACCGGCAGGGAATGCCTATGGGATAATTGGATGCTAAGAGATAGGCARCCTCATTCACTACAACAACAGCAGTTGGGTGTAACTCTAAT